GCCGGGAACTGCCGGCGACAGGGAGTAGCCAGGCGGGCCGGACTCCGTCGCGCTCCGGGGCTCCGGAGCAGGCTCCTCCTCAGGCTCCTGGGCGTCCTGCAAGGACACGCGCCTGGGTCAGCGGACAGCAGCCCGGTTTAGGGGAGCGACTGGTGTTCGAGGGGCGCCCGGAAAACCGAAGTGAAGGAGGTAGTTCCCTCGACACTTCCAGCTCTTGGAAGGTGTCAGAGGTGTGTTTGTCCCCAATACACGACACTTAGCATGGTGCCTGGCAGATAATAAGGGCTCAGTAAACACTGAAATGCATTAAGCTGCGTGCTTTGTCTCGGTAACGTCCTCTTTCCACCTGTCTGGGACAGCCTGGTACAGCTGGTTGTGGAACAGGGGAAACCACCAGAGTTGGTGTCCAAAGGCCTGGGCTAAAAGCCACTTATTTCCTTGGTTGCTCCGGGGCGAGTCTCTTCCCCTTTTCTGGCGTTATCGTTCTAATCTATAAAGTGGGGATGGCACACACAGTTCAGGTTACTCTGCGTACTATACGGGGCATCAGTGCCTAGCACCAGGACTGGTGGGGGCTCACCGTGCTTGTAGGGCACCCAGCCCAGAGCTGCTCACCCTGTCCTTCAGAATATAGAGCGCCATGGGGCTCTTCCGCTCCTGCTCTCCGCTTCCCGGGAGGGTGTCTGCTGCACAAGGCAAAGAGCGGAGTGGCTGGCCCAGCTACAGAACCCTTCCCTCCAGCCAGCACCTACACCCTGCTCCCCCAGTGGCCAGTCAAGACCCCGCCACAACCTCCACCAAAGGGTCAGCAACACATGGAGTCCTACCTTGGCCGCACCTCTCCCTGCTCTGCAGTCTTCGTGCAGTTGGTGGAGGCAGGGGCCCTGCAGAGCTGGCTTCCTTGTGGCCCAGTTCTGCCTTTTCCCAGCAGCCCACTGATCTGAGTGAGGATGGGTTGGGTGAGTGGGCCGCTGGGAGCTCACCTTCTGGTTTCAGGCTGTCATCATGCTGATCCATATATTCCAGGGAGTTTTGCTTCTCCAGTTTCTTCTTTCTGCAAATCAACCCGACACCCCATGAATAGAGTTACTAAGTGTGAGCAGGAGGGGATCTGGGGTTGGGGACAAGGGGGATTTGGTGGTTGTAAAAGAGGCCTTATCACAGGAGGATGGGCAGAATGAATACATCTAAGTTTGCACTGAGTCTGTCAGCATCGTGATTGTGGGCAAGTCATTTAACCAATTTGAGTCTCAGTGTCCTTATCTGTAAACAGCAGGAAATCATACTTAGAAGGTAGTGCACTAACCACAACCTCAGTGCCTAACCCATGAAAGGTGCCCTGCAAGGGAAACCATTATTAACAGTGCTGGGTCACCAGGGTTGCGCGCGCAGGAAGTGGTTCCGTACACAGTACACACAGTGGGGAGATGGATCTCCTGGGAAGACACGCAGTGCCCTGGGGGGAAAGGCATTTAAAGAGACTTAGAAGAGAAGAGAGCTTGCGGTTGTGGACTGAAGGATTAGAGTGCTGAGGGTGTGGAACTTGAGGAGTTACCTAGACTTTTTGGAGGGTTTCCAACAGGCACAGACTGTCACCAAGGTCACAAGGAGGAAGATGCCTCCTGTGGACAAGATGATGTACAGGGAGCTTCTTCCTAGGGAGAGAGGGAGGCAGAGATGTGAGAGGGACGCCGGTGTGGTGAGGAGAGCTTCTCACAGTGGGCGGAAGAGAAAGGGAGTCCGGGGCGGTATGGCTGGCTCACTGCAGAGCTTGCCCAGAGCCCACTTCCCACCTGCTACTGTCTTCCAGGGAGAGCTGGCTCGTCTCTGCCTCTCTCCCTCTGCCTTGGCGTCTGTGGCCCCTCGTGGGTTTTGAGTCCTACAGGGAGGGCAGGCAGGGAGACTCACGGTACACGGTGACCTTGATGGGCAGGCTGCGGCCCTGGCTGATGGGGTTCTCCACCACACAACTGTACAGGTCGTCGTCCTCCATGAGCACTCGGGTGATGGTGAGCACCTTTTGGTTGGAGGACAGGAGCATTCGCGAGTCATTGAGGAGGGGCTTGCCATCCTTCAGCCAGGTGTAGCTGGGCTTGGTGCCATTCTCATGGGAGCAGTTCAGGGTGAAGGCTTCACTGAGCTCCAGCACAGTGGTCGAAGCCACTAACACCTGTGGCCTCGAAATGGGCACTGAGCCCAAGGAGGGGAGGCTGTGAGCAATGGGCCAAAGAGCTTCTCCCTCCCCCTTCTTAAATTCTGCCTTCAACACAGCACAACTCAGTTTGTGATCTGAGAGGCCCTTCAGAAATCATTAGTGGAATTCTTTACCACCATCCATCCATCCATCCATTGATTCACTCATTCGTTTACCAGCTATTCACTGAGTACCTACTAACCACAGAGGTACAATGCTGGACAAGACAGCCATGGTCCTCACCCTCATGGACCTTCCCTTTTTCCCAAATACCTTTCTAAGATGTCTTAAACTGACTCAGTGTGGAACAACTAAGTCCAACTATCTGGGTTCAAATATTGGCACTATCACTTACTAGCTGCATGACTTAGGCAAGTTACTCAACTTTTGTGCCTCAGTTTCCTCTTCTGCACATGGGAATAATGATATTAACTATCCTTAGATTACTAGAAGCATTAAATGAGTCAATATATGCAAAGCACTTAAAATAGTTTCTGGCATATAGTGGACACTTTATGTGTTTACTGCAGCCTATCTGCTAACTGCTAACGTCCAACTGGCTCACTCTCAACTCCCAAGTGGCTTTTGTGCTGGTTTTCCCAGACCCTGCCCCAGTCTCAGTCCCAGTCCCAGCTCCTTCCCTGCTGGAGCACTTTACCATCTACTGTGAGGTTGATGGTCTTCTCCCCGGTGAAGGTGTCATCAGTGATGGAGATCTCGACCTCATAGGTGCCCTCATCGCTGAGCTGCAGGTCACTGAGGAGCAGGGAGCCATTTTCAAAGAGGCGGATGCGGTCTCGATAGTCCGGCCGCAGGGTGCCAATGATCTCTGTGCCAATGGACTGCACCACCGTCACTGGCTTGTCCCGCTTTAGCTGCCACTTCACCACGGGCTTGTCGCTGCTGGTGCTGCTGTACTGCACGGAAAGCAGTGCTGACTTCCCCACCGTGCCATGGATCAGGCGCACCTGGCTGGTGATGTTCACCCCCTGCAGGGGCTCTATGAACAGAGGCCCGTGGAGAGAGGGCGGCATCAGGCCCTTGGCTCCTTACTCTACTCCCACCTTTAAGTCCTCTGATCTTTTTCTGCCTCCCATTCTGGGCCCTTCATGCCTGTCAGTCCTTCCTTCTTACCCCCTGGTGTCATCTCTTTCCCCCTTGTAGCTCTGGGCCCCTCTGCTCCTCCGTATCCCTCACACCCATCCCATTGCCCTTACCTTCTTCTGTCTGGCCCTCTGCCTCTGGCAGTTTTCCTCATCAGGAAGATTCCAGCTCACCCACACCCTGTGTGCTTCACTTATAAAAATATTTACTGAGCACTTACCATGTGCCAGGCACTGTTCTGTATCCTTGGGATATATCAATAAGCAAAACAGACAAACATCTTTTATCCCCTGTAGCTTATAAGCCATTAGACCTTAGGGTAAATTTTTCAGATTTTCTTCTTGATTGAGAATTGGGGGAGTGAGGTGGGGTTGGGTGACGGAGAAAGCATGGGACATAGATTCACAAAGAAATGAGTATGTTACATGACAGTGCCACTAAAGGGGAAGTTTAGGACCCTGAAGACAACTGGGCCACCCTCGTTAGACCATTAGCCTCTCCTATCCTTGCCCCAGCTGCATGTAGCATCTCACTAGGCCTGCCCAACTGGGTAGATGGTTTTGGAAATTCACCCAAACTCCAGCCCAATTACAATCTCCTTTAGAAGAGGGATTTAGGATGAGTGAAACAAAAAGTTTGGGAGCAGAAGGCCTAGAAAGATTGGGCTCCACCCACTGGGTGGACCTGGGCAAGTCATCTTTCCAGGCCCCACTCTTCTATGTAGAAAATGAGCATAATAACGATAAGGAGCGACCGCTGCGTCAAGTTCACTGCGGGAAGCACAACATGTGCGTCAGTTACTGCTGCGTAGTGGAGAGAACACAGGGTGAGCATCAGAGACGTGGGCCCCATTGTTGACCTAGGAGAAGTCACTTGTGTGTTCAGGGCTCAGGTTTTCCATAGGTCAAATGAGTGGTAATCTGGATGGTTTCGTTGGTTTGTCTCAGCCTTGTAATTCTGGGACTTTACCACCTTGGCCAATGGCTGCCCCATTCAGAGACACATCTCACATTTCAGGGATCTCTTAGGCACTTGGGGGCCTGAACAGACGCTGTTCGTTGGTGTCGCCTGGCTTTGTAGAGCAGTACCAACACGAGGAAGAGTCTTCTGAGAGGATGTCAGTTGGGGACAGGGCTGGATTTAGCTGAATAGACACATATATGTCAGGTTCTCAGTCCCTGTTTGTCCCCAACTGCTTCTGTTAACTGTCATTACCTCCAAAGTTCCCTCTTTCTTTCTCGCCCCTACTTCCCACTCTGCTGCTGCTGTTTAGATTTGGGGCAGCTGAGCTATATCTTTCCAGTCCTTATTTCTCTTCTTGTGCCTAGAAGACCCAGACCAAACTAGGAAGCAATGAAACTGAAAGGTTAGCTGTGGAGCTCAAAACAAATTTAATTTAATTTAATAAATATAGTAAATCCATTTTTAGAGCAAGTGCTTGGTTAAGAAGTGAACTCATCATTTTTTGGAAGTGGTCAAGAAAAGGCTAACTGACTATTCCTGTGCCTCAGTTTCCTCCTCTGTACACCCTCCCCTACCCCATACCAGGTCCTACTGGTCCTTTGTATGTCTTTCCCCCTCAAGTCTGCTTTCTGCCAATTTAAACTTGATTTTTCAGGATAAAAACACTGGAGAAGCTACAGCATATGGGTTGCCCTAGGTCTTACCCTCCTCTGGGTGGGAGCCTTCCTCCTGCCATGACTCGCAGGGGTATGCATGGCTGTTCATAAATGAATGGAGCAGTCTTTCTCAGAGGCTGACAAAGAAAGCATTTGCTGAGCAAACACTGTTTCCCAAAATTCCTGCCAAAACCGGAGTCTGTATTAAGTTCAGGGTTCCACAACTTTCAAGGGACACAGAGAACTGGGACAGATGCCAAAGCAGGACATAGAAGTGAGGAAGTGGCTGACAACTGTGGTCCACAGTAGGAATAAAAGGGACTAGGACTAGTCACCCTTGAGAAGTGATTAACTTAATTATTGTCCTCTAGTCTCTGAGGCATCATTATGTAGAAATTTCTGTTCCCACCCGAGGCTGAACAAAAGGCAACCGACGCTGCAGCAAGATATACCGATCAACTTAAACACTGCCATACTGGGCCAGGTAAGTGGCCCTCGAGTAGGATTTTCACCTGCTGTGACACCAAACAATGTCAAGCTTCGAAGTATAGAGGCAAGGGCGGGGATAAAGGAGGGCGATTTGGAGGTTACCAAACCTCTCCCAACTGCGGGGAGACAGGCGAAAAGATGAGAAGAGAGAGAGAAAACGAGAGCCACGGATGGAGTAAAAATCACTGTGAAAATAAAAAACAAAGCCACGGAGGCCAAGAACAGGGATCAATCAGAAAGAGAAAACCACAGGCATGAAAAGACATAAGGAAACAATCGTAGGACAAGAAACGGCCAGGCAATTCCAGGGTATCCAGTAGCTCCAGCAAGCAGAGAGACAAGTGGCTGAGAAGGTGGCAGATGCCAGGAGGAGGAGGGTCCCGCATCTGAAGTGGGCAACGGAGGAGGCGCAGGTGGTGGAACAACGCCTGCGAGGGCTGAGCTGAGAGCGAGAGCAGGGCTGGAACTCCAGAGCAGGCAGCGGGGCCTTCTTGCTCCCTGAGATCTGAAGCCATGCTGTGTCCCTGTGCATGCATGGACTTGCTTTGTAAGAACAGAAACTGTCAATAAAATGACTATGGGCAAAAAAAAAAATAATAATGTATCTGCCAATAGCCCTGGGTTCCTTTAAAGACACCATCATTTACTCATTTTTATGTGCTCCTTTTTGCTTGGCAAAGGTTTCTCTTTACTAGTATTTGCCTTAAATTTACCTCTTAAAAGTGTCAGACACGATGCCAAACATGTATTGTAGGATTTGGTCTATACACACCCAATCCACAATCTCGTAACACCATAGACTGCAGTTTTTTGTTTGTAAGGACCTGTCCCCACAAGGAAGTCCTTTGATCCCTTTGGCCATCAAGATACCCTTCTCTGGGCTTTCTCCCCTCTATTATTTCTTTTTTGCTGTGTGACAACCAGAACTGCATTCAGTAACCCAAGGGCACACATGGTTTTCTAAAAGGAAAAAAATATTGCATTCTGATTTTGGTTTTTAATAGCCTTCCTAATGAGTGATGCTCCGAGAAAACAGCCCACTCCTTGGCCCCTGCTGTGTAGGGGCATCACTAAGGGTGAACATGTTGGGGTTCTGTATTATGTTCTTATATTATTATCCTGTTGAGACCTACAGGGGCCTACAAGAGTGTGAAATTATTCTAAGTGTCAATCACTCAGGAATGTAGAAGAAAACCAAAGAACAGAAATTGTAAATAGATCAATGGGATAGAACAGAGTCAAAACAGACTTGTGTATGATTGCTTAACTTACGACAAAGGTGGTGTTGCCATGCAGTGGAGAAAGGATAAATAGTGCTGGGCCATGTAGGAAAAATATAAATCTTGACCCTTACTTCATACCTTACACAAATATCGATTCTGGATGGATTGTAGATCTACATGTGAAAAGTAAAACAATAATGTTTTAGAAAGAAAACACAGGGGGAATATCTCCATGACTTGAGGACAAACAGATTTTTTAGGTAGAACATAAAAGTGTGGTAACCATAAAAGAAGAAAATGATACATTGGTCACAATAAAATTAAGAGCTTCTGTTCATCAAAAGACACCATAAAGACAGTGAAAAGGCAAGCTGTAGAGCCGGAGCTATTGGTCATCCATATCCTATAAAGGACTCATGCCTAACATACATTTTTAAAACTTCTACAAATCTATAATTTTTAAAAATCCAGAAAACTCAATAGAAAATGTGCAAAAGACTTGGAATCGGTACTTCACAAAAAGGATATCCAAATAGCTAATAAAGATTTGGAAAAGATACAACTCCATTAATAACCATGGAAATGCCATTTTAAACCATCATTTGATACCACCTCAAACTCACCAGGATGGTTAAAATGAGAAAGAAAGAATTGATGAAGATGTAGGGCATCTGGACTCTCACAAAAGGCAGGTGGGAACGTAGATGGATACAACCACTTTCCAAAGCTGTTTGGCCCTATCCACTAAACCTTAACACATGCATATAACTCAGCAATTCTACTTCTAGGTATAGCCTCCAAAGAAATGTGTATCTCTGTTTACCAAAAGATACACACTAGGGTGTTTTAACAACTCTATTCATAAAGCCCCAAACAGGAAACAACATGGATGAATCTTACAAATTTGGTGTTCAGGGAAAGAAACCAGATAAAAATAATGTACACATATGATCCCATTTATAAAAAATTCAAAGACATGCAAAATTAATCTGTATTGGAAGTTAGGATACCACTGTAACCCTGGGGGAAGGGCAGTGGTAACTGAAATTGCATGAGGGTTCTTCTGAGGTGCTGAAGTGTTCTACTACTTGATCTTGGGCACTGATTACATGAGTTTGTTCACTTTTTAAAGGCTCATTAAGCTATATCCTTATGCTAAAGAAAAAACACAAAAAAACACAGTACTTATAATGTTAAGGTGATCTGAAAGGATGGAACCCAGGCAAGGGACTTCTTATTGGGCCCTTAGAGGATGGGACAGTTATAAAATCCCAGAGTAAAATCTTGCAAATTGGACTACCTAGATTTACGGCATGCTGTGTTTATGTTTGTAAAATAGTGTCCCGGCCTCTAGAAAAGCCTCAATGGGATTTTTTCCTCTCTACATATCTTGGGGTTACTCACTGTTCCATTTCCAGCCCATTCTCTCATCCTGGGTGCTATTACCCATTCTTGTTGTTTTAAATCTTACCTATGGGCTGACAGCTTCCAAATACCTCCCATCAGCCCTGTCCTCCCTGCCCCCCCTTTAGGCTATGCAACACCTTCCCACAGATGTGTCATAGGCATTTCAACCTTAACATAGACAATAGTAATGACCATGTCCCTGACCTTATCCCATTTTTTGTTTAAGGTTTCACACAGAAGCCTTACCTCCCTCTTTGGACCCTCCCACTTCTTTTCAATTACTAGGTCCTGCCTTTCCCTCCAAAGTATTATCTCAATGTGCCTCATTCCCTCTACCTTTATTCTGATTCCAGCCCATGTTATTTCTCTCCTGAAGTACTGCAACAGCCTTGTTATAGGTTGAATTGTGTCCCCTAAAATTCATACGTTGAAGTCCTAACTCCCAGTACTTCTGAATGTGACCTTATTTGGCAATGAGGTTATTGCAGAGGTAATAAACTAAGATGAGGTCATACTAGAGGAAGGTGGGCCCCTAATCCAATATGACTCACGTCCTTATAAAAAGGGGAAATTTGCCCGGCTGGTGTGGACCAGCAGTTGAGTATCAACCTATGATCCAGGAGATCGTGGTTTGATTTCCAGTCAGGGCACATGCCTGGGTTGCAGGCTCGATCCCCAGTGGGGGGGCGTGCAAAAGGCAGCTTGATCAGTGACTCTCTCATCATTGATGTTTCTCTCCCTCTCCCTTCCTCTATCTGAAATCAATAAAAATATATTTTTTAAAAATGGAAAATGTGGACACAGACACAAGCACAGGGAGATCGTCACGTGAAGACTGAAGTTATGCTGCCGCAAGCCAAGAAACTACTAGAAGCAGAGAGGCCTAGAACAGATCCTTTCCTAACACTGTCAGCTATACCTTTCTGACACCTTGATCTCAGACTATTAGCCTCCAACACTGTGAGATGGTAAATTTCTGTTGTCTAGACCACCCAGTTTGTGGCTCTTTGTTGTAGTAGTCCTAGGAAATGAACACAGGTTTCCTTTCCTCTCCTTTGCCTCCGGTTTCCATTCTAATGCCTTGCTGCAGAGTGAGCTATCCCAAACACACGTCTTGGACCTGCCAAGCCCTAGATTAAAATCTTCCAGTGCCCTCCCCACTCCATTGTTTACAGACTATATTCTAGTTTACTTAGTGTAGTTCACAAGGCTCTTGCCTAACTTAGTTCACACTTTCCTCACCGGCAGTGGAAATTGGCTGGGCTATTTCCTAAACCCAGGATGCCGTTTCAAGCTGTTGAGCTTTGCCCATTTTCCCAACTCTAATGTCCACTTGCACACCATCTATTTTTCTGATCCTTTAAAATTCAGTGCAGACATTCCCAGATGACCTCCCCTGATATTCCCCCAACCCCACCCTGCACCACCAGCACCCGTTTCTTGCTGGGTAGATGACTTCTCTCTGATCCTGGGCATCCTCTGCATGTCTGACTCATAATAGCTTCTGTGTTTAATTTAAATGATCTCTGCATCTGTTTGCCCAACTAAAGTGTATATTCCTAGGCTCTCTGGAAGACTCTGTGTGTGTGTGTGTGTGTGTGTGTGTGTGTGTGTGTACATAAACAAATAAACTTAAAATAAGATCAATTCTCCAAATAGTTGGTAGGGAGTGGTACAAGAGGCAGCTGTCTATGGTGTAGGGTGAGTTGTGGGTAGGTTGGTGTTACTCTCCAAAACAGGAGGTTCATTATCTCCAAAGCTTCTTACATATCTTGCTGTTTTACACTCAGAGAAGCCAGGGGGCTGGGGAAGAAAAAACCAAGATTCCCCCACCCCTCCAAGCCCCACCATAATCCTTGCAAAGAATGCCGAACTGGCCGTACCAACAAGACATCCTATAAGAAATGGCTCATTGCCTTTCATCTAATGTCCTGAATGCCGTGGGAGCTCCAAAGTCATGCAGCCTTTTGGGGGAGGGGGCAGGGGCCAGGCAGCGGGCAAGAGAATGAAGAAATACATTCAACACTAATGCCTGAATTCACTGAGATGCTTCCCACGCAGCTGAGCTCTCTCCCCTCCTCCCGCCCTAAAGGCATTCTGGCCCTGCACTCTCCCCTCCCTCACCTTTGATAGCCCCCGTCCTTTCTCCAAACCCTTTCTTACCCTTCTGGTCTCCTACCTGTCTGGATCAGAAGAAGGTAGACAAAAGGAGTGAGGTGTAGGGCACTGAAGGCTCTGGACAGGGCTCCCCTTTCTCTCTTCATTTTGGGTGGCGTTCTCCAGCTCTGGTGCAGACAATTAGCATGATTTCTTCACTCTGGGCACGTCTCTTTGTACCACTCGGAGTTTCTCTGCCCCAGCACAACCCTGCCAACTTCCCTCTGAATACACAGAGCTCTGTGTGTTGCTGGTCTTGTTCTTTCTTCTCTTTGAGACCTGGCATTTTCTAGTTTCAAAGCCCTACGTCCCCAGTTCAGAAGGGGGTACTTGCTTAGGAGATAATCTCCAGTGGGGGTGCCAACCTGATGGGTCCCAGAACCCCATCAGTTCTTCTGTCTGTGCTGAGCCCCACTACCAGGGGCAGATGAGGACTTGGGCTCAATAGGGACTGGGCTGGGAAACACACTAAACTGGACCTTGTGTCCCAACCCATCCTGTCTCCACCTCACACTCCTTGTTCCTGAGAAGGAGGGTGTATGCCAGGGATAGACCTCCAATATGTTTTGAAGAGGGAGGGATAAATGCTTTTAAAAGGCCGGAGAATGGGAGACTCCAGAGAATGCAGAGGAAAATAAATGTTAATCCATCAAGAAGTTCAGTTTGGCCAATTACTTTCACACGCTCTTGGGGAGGTTCAGTCTCTGCTTGGACAACTCTGGCAATTGTTCAATCAGTTGTTCCAGTTTCCTCCCCCGACCCAGCTCCTCTCTAAGGGTGGGGGTGAGTATAGGTGATGTGGCTTCGGTAACCTTGTGGCAACAGGAGGAGACAATGTGCATGGACCTATGTGGCCTTCCATGTGTTTCATTCTTTTCCTGTGGGTACATCTGTCCCATATAATTGTTGATGATGCGGGCTGCGTGGGTTTGTGGGTTTTTTTTGACATCCTGATTATAAACATTTCTTAACTTCAAAGGTATATTTATACTTGTCAGTCTGCCTGTCTGACTTTTGAATCAGAAAATGTGGCTCCTGCAGCCATCTCCTCGTTAGCCCGGGAAATGCTCTGGGGCAGAAGCTGTAACTTTTCACTCTCTGGGGTCTCCTCACAGGGTCTAATTTTGAACTTTGCATAATGTGGCTGCTAAAACAATGGTGTAGACAGACTGCTTGACTGACTGCAGTGGTGGCCTTGCTTAGACAAGGCCCATCCCCCTTCCTCCTCTGAGCATTTCCACAGATGCATTTTGAGGGCACTGTCCTCTTCTGAGCAGTGCAGGCCAGTCCTCTTGGCCCTTCTGCTGCACAGTTGCTTCAGGCGGCTCCTCATTTGGCACCTCCTCTGGGGCTCTCGGATCCTGGCTCCTCATCGCTGCACCCATGGCAGCCCTGGCCGGCTGAACCCAGACCTCTGTGCTGAGCACACAGACATGCTCCTGAAGCTCAGAATGGACCCCGGCCCCGACACACACACACACACACACACACACACACACACGAATATGTAAATAACTACCAATTTTATTTTAGTTTTTTCCATTTATCTCCCTATACTCTCTTCCACCGCCCTCCCCCATCTCCCCCACAATCACCACACTGTTGCCAATGTCCATGAGTTCTTTCTTTTTTTTCTTTTTTGCTCAATCCCTCTCCTTCCTCCTACAACCTCCCTGCCACACACACATCTGAGTTGTTTGCCTGCTCTCTGTCTGAGTATGTCTCTATTTTGCTTGTTAGTTCAGTAGATTCCACATGAGTAAAATTATATGGTGCTTGTCTTTCTCTGACTTGCTTATTTCACTTAGCATAATGCTCTCCAGGTACATCCATGCTGTCCCAAAGGGGAAAATTTTCTTCCTTTTTACAGCTAAGTAGTATTCTACTGTGTAAATGTACCATAGCTGTTTTATCCACTCATCTACTGATAGGCACTTGGGCTGCTTCCAGATCTTGGCTATTGTAAATAATGCTGCTATGAACATAGGGGTGCACATATTCTTTTGAGTTACATTTCAGGTTCTTCAGATAAATTCTCAGAAGTGAAATTGCTGGGCCATAAGGCAGTTCCAGTTTTAATTGTCCACAGTGGCTGCACCAATCTGCATTCCCACCAACAGTGCACGGGTTCCCTTTTCTCCACATCCTCTACCGTTAGATTTCAGGATGTCCCCACCCACTTGGCCTGTTCCTTTGTTTCTAGGATCCAGGAAGAATGTTCTGGCGCTGACATTACTACTAGAGAGGTTTTGGCCTTCCTAATACCATAACATCAGTGGTGATTTTTATATTTAGCATTCTCCCCTCCCCAACCTTTTCTTCATTCACTTCCTGTTATTGAGTCATGTCTGTTCCTCCTCCACTACATTGTAAATAATTTTTTGTAGCAGAATGAAAAAAATCTTCAAAAACTGACACCTAAATTCCTTTTACAGAGGGAACTGTCTTTAGCAAGAAAAATATTTAGATATGCCACATGGAGTGGAAGGTAAAACCTTAAGCACAAATAGTCAAGGAACAAAAGATAAATCCCTGTGCATTTGAAATAATCAGGAACTTGGGTTTGGGGAAAGAATAGGGGAGAGAAATGAAGAAGGGGTGAGGGGATGAGAGAGCAACATGATGGGGAGCTGAAGAAAACTTAAAAAGCTTGCATCACTACACTGTACAACCCTTCCTCCTCTGTCTTCTGCAAAACTTTCAGAAAAGTTTACTCCACACAAATGCAGTATGTGTGTTTGCTTCTAGCTGATAGAATATAGCTAAGGTGATAGGATAGCCACTCCCTTGATTAGATTACACTACGTAAGACCAAGACTTAGCAGACCAGAGAGAGATCTTCCAGTTGATAAAATAACTGCAAGCTGTGAAAGGGCCCCAAGCAACTGCTGTTATACCTCTAGCTGCTGCGAGCAACCCTTGACCAACAGCTGGCAGGATAATAGGGACCTCAGTCCTACAATCACTAGAAACTGAATTCTAACAACCAGATGATCTTGGAAGAGGATCTCCAGCTCCAGAAAGGATGCCCACCAGCTGACACCTTAATTGAATTCTGGTGATACCTTGAGCAGAAGACCCACTAAGCTGTGCCTGTACTCCGGACCCACAGAAACTTCAAGACAATAAATGTATGTTATTTCAAGATGTAAACTCATGGCAATTTGTTACACAGTGTAGAAAACTAATACAGGAGAAAGAGAAAGAGAGAGAGGAGAGAGAGAGAGAACATACGGAGAAAGCAAGAGTTAGGAGTCAAGAGATTGTCCTGAGAACCTAGGACTTTGGAAATTTGGAGAAATATTGGTATCTTAGTTTGGGTTCCCCCAGAGGCAGATCGAGACAAAAAGTTAATTTATTCAAAAGGTGATCCTAATAAAATCAAGTAGTATATTGGGGAAATGAGACATGGAAGGGAAGGAAGCCAATAAAGACTACATATCAATCAAATTACTATCATGGGCAGCTATAGCTTAATCTTTTTAGGGAACTCTGGGAGATAATGAAGAATATGCCTCAGTTATCCCATCTAAGGGGATAGGTAGTTAAGATATTTAACCACCATCTACTATCAGATGTAGGTTGAGGGCTGCTTCTGAGGGGCGAGGGAAGGCTCATTCCTCAGACTGCTGGCTAACTCTCACGTGGAGGCATCTTGTCCAGACCTTCCCTCCTCTAACTTCTGTGTGTGTGTAAGCAACTCCTCACTTTACTCTGTCAGGCACTTTGTATCTACTTGTTCACTTAATTCTCCCAATACTCCTTTTAGGTAGAGATTATATCACCATTTTACACATGGGAAAACCTGAAATTTCAAGAACTTAGCCACCTGCAAAGGTCATTTAGATACTAAGTGGCAAAACCCAGTTTGATCACCAACAGAACTTGGGCTTTTGACTGCTTCCCTAACCCCTCAGTGGGCAAGTCCCCTCCTGTGTGTGTGTCTTGAGCCTGGTCTAACCTTTAACCCCCAGCACTTATTCTCTAAACTACATGATGGAAGGTGGCCCCTACTACTGCTGAAGTTATTTTTGATTCTTTGCTCCATAAACCTATATGTGCATGGTACCAGAGTTGTCCCTACCATTATTAGTTCTACTGGCCAGGTTGGAGAGGGAGGATCCAGGAGACCAGTGCCAACCAGAGAGTTTGTAGAGCTGTGGTATTGCCTGGGAAACAAGGAGTGTGTGAGGCTTTGTGCTGAGGAGGCAGGGTCTCGCTGTTCCAGCAGCCACCGAAAAAGAGAGATTAGCTAGCTCTCTTTGAAACAAAACAAACTTTTTGTGGGCCTGGTCAGTAAGGAATAGCCCTCTTCAAGGGCTTTTTCCCCCCTTTTTCTTTTTGAATGTTCTCCTACGTAGCCCTACTCTGGCTCGCTGCTGAGAAACATCAAATAGAAAGTGGAGATAAAGGCCCCTCCTGCCTTCCTGTGGCCTCATCATGAACGATGGTTTTGCTGCCTGCAGATTTCTGTAAATGTGAGGAGTCACTCAGAGGAAGAGCATTCTGCAGAGATATGGTGTCTCAAAAGGTATGGGTTTGTTGGGAGAAAAATGTGAACAGGGTGGCATGGAGTCCTGGGTACATTTCTGTAAGGCAGAGAGGAGGTGCTCCCATTTCCATACTGGAAAGCTGAAAAACATCAAAGCCTTTTATGCTGAGAGTAAATATTTGATTTCTGAATAGAATTCCAGCCCCCTCAGAAACTGGGAGGAACTCAGGCTTGTGTCCGTGGTTGCTGAACGTGCCCTATTCAGCAGCTCTCCAGAGAAACAAAGAGAAGTTAATAGGCTTTAAAGTGTTGGAAAGATCCAGTTTGCTGACCTATTTAAGATGTACCGAGGGACATTCTAGAGAACATTTCTGGAGTTCTGTTTTTCTAAAGCGTCAGTGCTCGAATAAAAACAGGTTGAAAAATCATGGGGAAGCTACAAGTTAGCCCCAACTCATGAAAGGCTTCATTGTGTTCCTTCTCCTGGATCCTCAGATGGTGTCTTTCTACCAACTATGTCCCAGGAAGGATTCACTGCCATCCTCCCTCTCTCGGCCTCCTTTCAAGGAGGGAGGGGCAGAAATGGAAATCAGCTAGCCTGCTGTGTGAACAGCTCTCCATGCTCTAGAGATTAGTAATGCTGCTGGCGGAAATGGGGTCCTTCCACGAGGTAGCAAGAAAAGCATTTCCAGGGGCCCACACATGGGAGGATGAGGTGCAGTGGTGGGATTTATTGGGGTAAAAATAAAAGACTGCCCCCAGGTTCCCAGGGTCCCATTTCTGTCGGTCCCGCTGAGGAAGAAGTCCAGCCTTGTCTTGGTCAAGCCCAGAAGGGCCAGGGTCCAGAAATCCTGTGCCATTGGTTCAGTCCATGCCGAAGTTTAGTCCATCCAGTTCAGTCTCTGACCCCATCCGACCAGCTTGGTCTCCGTTCCCAGCTGCGCCCCAGCCAGTGCTGCGTTGCTGCACCTGGGCTCAGGCTTGCAGCAGGGCTTGGAGCCCGTGCTTGGGCGCTCGCGGCTGCCTGGCTAGGGAGAGAACCCACAGAGGAATGGGCAGCCGCACGAGTGAGCGCAAGTTCCCGAGAGGCCTTTGCTAAACTGATTGTATTATCGCGGACTTTCAAACTGACCAATCTCTTTCCCAAGCCTTCTCACGCTTGTGTTGTGTCCTCCCACTAACCAATCCATTTCCTAGATCTTCCGGGG